GGCGGAGGATTAGCCTATTGAGCCGCAGCGCCGGCCGAAGATTCCTCTTTTAAAAAGTACATTTATTTATTTATTAGAAAGGCAAAGTGACAGAGACAGAAAGAGAGGTCTTTAATTTACTGGGTCATCCTCAAATGGCAGCAACAGCCAGGTTTGGGCCAGGCTGATGCCAGGAGCCACAAACTCCAGGCTTCTCATGTGGCTGGCAGGGGCCTAAGCACTTGAGCCATTTTCCAGTGCCTTCTCAGGTGCATTAGCAGGGAGCAACCACGGAAGTGGAGCAGCCGGGATGTGTTCTGGCGCTCATATGGGATGCAGGCATTTCAGGCTGCGGCTTTATGCACTATGCCACAGCTGGAAATACTCCTCCTAAAGCAATAATTCAACAGAAGCAGAGGGCTGGGTGTGCAGTGAGGGTCTCTACAGCACAGTTTGCTGGAGAAATAAAGAGGCAGGGAAATGGAAGAGCCTGCCTCCAGCCACAGGCAGCCAGAACCACATCAACGGTTCAGATGACTGTTCAACCATGAGGGAAGGTAATGACGAAAATGAGACCAAGGGGTATTTCTTTGACAATACTGGGTAAACAGGCTATAAAGGAGTAGGTCAGCCGTGACAGCACCTCCATGAAAACACACATGCACCATATATGTGGGCTGCTTGATAAAAACAGGACATTTGCTAAAGAGCAAATAGTTGCATTGGAACAGGAAAACTAATGGGGATGGTTTTCTTCCACAACGATCTTCAGGCAGATGTCACAGAACAAGTTCAGTTTTTGTTTTTTTTTTTTTTTTTTTAATCACCATTCTGGCACCCTTCCTCTGCATGTATTCTTCCCGCTCCTCCCCCGCACTGCAGCCCTGTGTCACTCCATTCTCATAGCACCATGGTTTCATTAGTGAGTTTCCTAGTGGGCCAGAGCTAGTTAAGCGAGGTATCAGCAGCAGGATGCGGCAGGAAGAATTGGGCTGGGAAGAAGCAAACACCTGTGCTCCAGTCCCAGATGGAGCTCTAACGGTGACCTTGGGCAACTCATAATTCTCCAAAATTCCTGTCACCACCTTGGATTTGCGTCTCCAGCTGCCAATCTGCCCTGGGGCCCTGAATACACAGGACCACCAAAACTCCACAGCCCTAGCATGCCCTGCTTCCCACCTGCGTCTCTCTGCATGGGTTCTGGACTTACCGTCCAGGGGGTCATCTCCTCTCTCACAGAACAGTAAGTGCAAAGTCAACCGTTCCACCTGCGTAAAGGAAGGGGGCCCAGCCTTAAGCGTCCATCTAGGTCCCTTCAAGTCTTACTTTCCTCGTGTCTTTTGAAAATGATTTTTACAGAAGGAGTGCAGGTGGAAGAGAGGACCTTTCCCCAGGCAGCAAGTTCCTTCTGCCATGCCAGACCCTCACTCAGAGGGGCTCAGAGGTGGGTGGCAGGAGGCAGGGCCTGGGGTGGGGGCAGGAAACAGCGTCTTTACTCACTGTTAGCATTTTTACACATCTGTGACCTCTCTCTCTCTCTCTCTCTCTCACACACACACACACCCCAAGGCTAAGTACTAAGTAAGGTCTTTTATTTATTATCATTTTATTTGAAAGGGGGAGTGGGAGGGGGAGAGGGAAAGGGAGGGGGAGAGGGAGGGGGAGAGGGAGGGGGAGAGGGAGAGAGAGAAGACAGAGAAAGAGCACCTGCTGGCTCACTCCCAAATGCTCCAACAGCTGGAACTGGGTCAGGCCAAAGCTGGGATGCTAGAACTCAATCAGGGTTTCCCACATAGGTGGCAGAGACCCAATTACTTAATTATTTGAGCCATCACTGCTGTCTCCCAAGATGCACATAAGCAGGAAGCCAGACTCAGAAAAACCAGGACTTGAACGCAAGCATTCCGATACGGGACGCAGGATCCTACGTGGTGTCTCAACCCCTGCACCCCATGCCTGCCTCTTCAAAGAGCCTCTTCAGCTCCAGTAGCTACAATACAGGTGGATCTTCAAAAAGAAAATGCATGTTATGGAAAAAAAGTGATGCATGGATTTCCATTTTTTTGCATCAAAATAAACATATCTGGCCGGCGCCGCGGCTCACTAGGCTAATCCTCCGCCTTGCGGCGCCGGCACACCGGGTTCTAGTCCCGGTCGGGGCGCCGGATTCTGTCCCGGTTGCCCCTCTTCCAGGCCAGCTCTCTGCTGTGGCACGGGAAGGCAGTGGAGGATGGCCCAAGTGCTTGGGCCCTGCACCCCATGGGAGACCAGGACCAGGAGAAGCACCTGGCTCCTGCCTTCGGATCAGCGCAGTGCACCAGCTGCAGCGTGCCAGCCGCGGCGGCCATTGGAGGGTGAACCAACGGCAAAAGGAAGACCTTTCTCTCTTTCTCTCTCTCTCACTGTCCACTCTGCCTGTCAAAAAAAAAAAATAAATAAATAAAATAAATAAAAATAAACATATCTTTTAATTCCACTTTTCTACACACTTTTTGTAACCCTTGTATGAAGGCTACAATGTTCATAACAGAGGCCCCCTGGGTAACTTTGTAGGATGAAGACGGGAAGTTCAAGGCCTCCACTCTCATCCCTCCCGTCTTGGGAGGTTCAAGGCCTCCACTCTCATCCCTCCCGTCTTGGGAGGTTCAAGGCCTCCACTCTCATCCCTCCCTGCAGTGTCCACTCTCAAAGCTACGAAGGCTCCAGGCTGAGTTCCTTAGTTCACCTGCACTGGACACCGACCTGGGGCATCTCTAGATGCCCACAGACTGTCATTCCGTCCTTCAGGACCCAGGGAAGTTAAGTTCTTCCTCCTCTGCTCCCACAGGCAGTCACACGCCTTTGTTATATGCACAATAAGATCTTCTACTGCAGCTGCTGGTGCTCCTATCTTATTCCCGCTTCCCACTCAGCACTGCTGGAGGACAGGGCCCAGCTCAATTCAGCTGCATACCTGCCTCTCCTACCCCCATCCCCAAAGCCTCGGGCCTGGCTGGCATGCAACAGGAGCTCCAGAGGTGACTGTTTGCTGCACAAATGGATGGATACATGGACAGACAGACGGATGCACACATAGCAAGGGGATTTGTGGTGGGGTCTGGGGCCAAAAAAGCTATTTTCTGGATGGGCCATGATAAAGCCCCAACTGCAGACTCGTGATACGTCACAAGCAGCAGGCCTAAATATGAGAATATGCTCATTAAAATCTTTTTGAATTAAGTATTCCATGAACAAGCACCAAGGGAACCATACTGTATTTTCAAGGCCATTTACCTAAACACAGTTTTGTTGCTATAATGTGAAGTGCTGTCTAGTGGTTGCAACAGGAGTTGAGTCAATGTGACATGAATGGAAAGCCACTCTTTGTTGCCTTCTTACTAATGACATCGCCTCCTCTGTGACACATTCATTCACTCACTCACTCATTCATATGACAAGTATTTGCTAACCCGTCCTCCAGT